GATAAAACACCTGTGAAAAATCAACACAGAAAATTCCTTCATATTAACACTGTACATTGAGCCGTGATTTTATGGACTTTTCTTGGATTGTTTTTACATTTAAGTCAAATCAAGTCAACTAACCTTTATTTATATAGTGCTTTTTACAATACAGTTTATTTCAAAACAGCTTTACAGTGATAACAGGAAAATAATGCAACAAAGTTTATTTCGGCTATACAGAAGTTCTAGAAGAAAATAGTGTCATAGTCCAGCTTAAGTACGTTCAGTGATGGTTCTCATATAATGGTGTCAATGCAGGCAGATCAATAATATTGTTGAATATTAAATGTCCCCAACTAAGCAAGCCAAAAGCCAAAGGCGACATTTACATTTAATCATTTAGAAGATGTTTTTATCCAAAGCAACTTACAAATGAGGAGAACATTAGAAGCAATCAAACCAATAGCAGGGCTACCTCGGTATACGTAGCAAGGTTAAAAAAAACAACCACAAAAAAACAATGTCGGGTGGCAGTTAAGTGTTAGTATTAATGGGTCAAGTGTTGACAGTGGTTTTCAGTGGTTAGATGGCTAGTGCTTAAACTTAGTTGATGTTTAACTCAGAAAAAAACAACCATCAAGAAGTGCATGTGCTGTCCTTCTTCAGGAATATGACATTGACTAGTACTGTATGTAAAGTGTCATCAAGTAATACGCATGAATGGATTTTGAACTCCAAACAGTTGGTACTTACAGAATCCCATGAGGACAAAGGCTCCACCAATGATAACAAAGGTCTGGACAGTATCTGTATACATCAGCGCAGCCAGTCCTCCTACAGAGACATTGCATGTCATTTGCAAGACATTTTGTGGGCCTCAACAAATGGACAGAGCTCAATAGATCATTTGTCCCTAAATTCCCAGGCAATGCATGAAATGATAAAATGTAGTCTTTGATTAATGTGGATGTAAGCGTCTGCTAATGTAAATGAAATGAGATGGATCAGTAGGCGATTTTACCTGTGATAGTATAGAGTGCTGTTATGCAGAGCAGAGCAATCACTGCAACATAGATATTCCAGCCAAGAGCCTGCTGTATAAAAACCGCTCCTGAGAACATGTCAACCTACGTTCAGCGAGGAGGAGAAATTGATGAGTTGGTGCCCTTTTGTGGAAACCAGCTCATTATGATTCTACATCGTTTTTTCTATTGTCTGGATATGACTTTATACTTACAGAAATCTTTGTGAAGATGTAAAGGAAAAGTGAAATGACAGAGAGATACAAGCTAATTCTAGACCCTCCAAATCTTTTCTTGAGGTATTGTGGCATTGTAATCACCTTTTGAAAAAAAAAAAGAGTAAGTATATTAAGGCTCTTTGTCATCTAAAATATCCTTGTTATGAAAAACGAACTTACCCCTGCGGTCAAATAAATAGGGACGAACACCCAGCCCAACAGCAAAACAATAAATAATGCCTGTGAAACAGAAGCATTTGTGATATTACAAACAAATTATTGGAATCACAATCTAATGCAAATTACACCAATGATAATATTATTTATTAAAATGTCCAGCTTACGTTCCATTCAAAACCCCCAACAGCTATTCCACTTGCAGCTGCTGTTCCTGCAAGGCCAACAAAATGACCACTGCCAATGTTGCTCGCAAAAAGAGACGTTCCCACCTATGTGTGTGATGTGAGCGGAAATAAATACATGGAAAAAGTAAACAAGCTTTAAGATAAGCATTAAAATCTTTATATTATTTGGTCAACTTTTTTCATACAAGGAAAGGGTATTGCCACAAAACTGTGTGACTTAACATCTAAACTACAAGTTTTTAATTAAACATTTAATTTGAATAAAGTTAGTACTCACAGGCCACCACACCATGGTCCGACCTGCAAGAAAGTAGCCGCCTACTGTGCCACGATTAGTCCTAAATGAAGACTACGATGAAAAAAGGGGGATTTTTTTTTTACTACATTTTACATATATTTAAAATGTAATTCTACACATTTTAACAGATATATCAATTAACACCTATTTTGGCACTTTAAAACCCCCCAAAACAAACTTTTCACCTACCCAAATTCCTACTGCAATAACCACCAAAAAGTAGCCAATGATCACGCTGATGTCAGCTGGGTTGTTGATGGTTGCGTGTTTCGCTGTAGTGTTTTCCATTTTTGAAGGCAGACAGACACGATGCTAATTTCATTTATGAGATGACAGGATATGAAACAAACACCACCGATGAAGCACTTGAGGAGAATTTTATTCATACAGGATTTGAGGGTAAAATCCATGATCTTTGCCCACATTGCAAAAGGGCTGATGAAGGAATATTATTAACAACAATAATTAACTTATTACTAGCCACTCAGGAAGGACTTTAACAGTTTTAAGCATTAAATGTTAATCAAACTTACATCTTAGCTCACTGTATGCTGTGGTACTTTCTCTTGAAAACAAAACAATGTAGTACTTAAATTATTGTTCAATTACATAATTTAAAAGGCATATGAGAAAACAATAGAAGAGAACAAATTCCTTGTTTGTGTAAAACATTGAAGAGTGTATGTACATTAACTACATGTATTTACTATAGGGTTAGATTAGGGTTTGGTTTAGTGTTATTAATAAATTATGCATAATTTACTGTTATTACTATAGTAACTACATGTAACAAAGATAATAAAATAGTTGCCATTTTTCTTTTACATAAGTAGAAAAACATTTTCTTTCATTAATTTTCTTAATTTCTCTTATATAGCTTGTTTGAAACACATGTTGGAGTTTGACACCAATGTATAAAACCTAAAGTAACGTTTAGTATTTATGGTTTTAAAAATACATCACTGATTAGAATAGTCACTGGTCTGTTAGTTCCCCAGCAAAACAGTTCTCACCTTATTTGGAAATCACTAAAAGAGGTTGGTTTATGGTCTGGTTAATAATCCTGCACTTTGGTGTGTGTGACAGTATCACTACGTTACTGGTTTTAAATGCTACAACAATTCACCTATATTTTCAAGACAAGCCACACAAAAAAACGTATGTTCAATTTATTTTAATGAAAACCAGAGCACAGACTTTCCATTCAAACAACGTTCAATATTTGACAAGTCTAGGTCTTTAAAACAAACAGACCTGTTTGACATCAGATGTAAATACAGAGTCCTTTTTGTCTCTGAGAAAATGTTACTGTAAGACAAAATTACAATAACTTAAAGTTTAAAAGAACAATGAAATCATACAAAAAGCATTCATTTGGTTCCTATTGCGATTCTATGTTTAAAACATTTCAGATGAAATGACCAGCTAAACCCAAAAAGATGCCATTAAAGCACTACTGATACGTTTACTGATCCACTTCATTGAGGGCAAGCTGAACAGTGCGTTACAACGATGTGCAGAAAATCATCAATCACTGTCATAATTAACTCAAACCTCCAGAGATGTTGTAGTGGACACTACAAAAGTCACATATGATACTGAAGGACTGTAACATAGACTGTGTTAATGTTAAGACTCATGTTGTGTTGCATTATTATTCATTTGTTAGTTCAGTCCTATGAGATTTTAAAAGAGAGAAATTTCACTCCAAGAGCCAGTGCTGCATTTGATTTGATATCTAAAAAAAAAAAAATTCAGGACTGGTATTGTAAATGCATTTCCAAATATAATATTTCCTAATTTTAACATCAGTTAAGATCATTTAAGATACAGTAGAATTTGCAACACAAAGTTGAATAGAAAATTGCATGTTTTTAACAGCGATTATCATCTGGGTTCTGGATTTCAATCTGTTATGATTGTATGTATTGTACGTAAAATGAAATAATGCAAAAACAATTTGCAAATAAAAAGAAATGTTAAAAGATAAAAAAAGCTTTCATTGCAAATCCTGACTGGCCAAAAAAAAAACAGGGGAAGCCATTTCTTCATGAAATGTAATAAATTACTTGTGGTTTAGGATGCACAGATAAAATGCTCTTAAAAACATATTGTATGCTAGCGATCGTTTGCCAGATAAAATTTCAGAATAACCAGAGCAACATGTTTTACCTAAGAAATGTATCCAGTCACATGACTTTAACTCTTTCTCCGCCATTGACTGAATTTTCTGGCTTTCCGTGTTTTCACTGTCATATAGTAGGGGGATGCTATTACACATCTTCTGAAAGAGTACACAATCTCTGGCTCAAAACACAGGCAAAGAATCAGAAACAAGCCATAGCATATGTAAGCAGATGCATATGTAAAATAACGCGATCATCAAAATTAAACATATAAATCAAAACTTTTGTTATAAAAAGCAGAGGGTCTGTTCATTCGTTGAATATATTGCATGTTCAGATATTTATACAACAAAATATTCTGGGGGCCAAGAAAGTTTTCTAAAAATTATCAAAAAAAAGCTGGCGGGCAACTTTTTTCAAATCGATGGCGGGGAAAGAGTTAAGGGAAAGACGTGTCTTTCAAATACACATCAAACATTTTAATGTGTAAATGTATTTCAATCATAGTTTATACGTACAGGATATTTTATTCGCATAGTGGTTTTTGCATCCAGCATTTTTTAAGCACATTTTGGGATACTACATAAACATGCTGGTTGATGGAAACCCAGAAAAAAAAAAAAAAATCTCATAATGTTGCTTAATACCGGTTTAATATAAATGTAATTTGTCCCCATTGTCATTAAAAAATAAATTAAAATGCCAGATTTTAGAAGTTTCTTAGACTGTTTAAAAGAGAACCCATATTAAAGACCTATGACTTTACAGTAGTATCAACTGCTGTAAGGGTAGCAATCTTGATGTTCTAATGCATGTAAAACTATACTCATCCTCACAAGAATGGCTTTAAGTAAAACATTTCAAATAAACTTCAATGACTTTTTATTCATTGAGTCAAGCATCTTTACAACCTGTTTTTTTGTTGTTGCTGCGATTCAAACATTTAATTATTCTCCAAGATAAAATTTTAGCATCCGTAAAAAATGTATTGAGAGCAAAAAATTCTGAAATCATATCCAAATATTATGCATATTTTCTGTCAATACTTAGTAAATGAAAACTTGCGTTCAGCTTGCAAAAATGAAAAAATGAATTTCAAAACATCTAGACATCAACTAAGAGTAAAGATGTAAAAGTAGGTGCATAAACTTGTCCGAAATGCCGATTTGTCTCTTTGAAAATCACACTCCCTGATTCGCCCTGTTGATCCGCATGACTCTGCATGACCGGGTCGGCCGTTTCTCCTTCCCCCGTTTCTGTTGAGCAGTACGAAGACGTGCTAAAATGTGTTTTTTGGGGAACTTTAGGGTAGTACACCCAAACTGGCTAACTCCTCCTGTATCCCCTGGCAATTTCTCCCGTCTTTGGACCCAGCTTCTCCAGCCAGGTTTCCAGCAGTAGACGCTATCATAAAATCTTGATCCGTTCTCACCACCCAAAACATATATCCTGCGTTTCCATCTAGCCACACCACCGGCAGCAATGCGCCTCGGCAGACCTGGAAAAACCACCGGACTAGGGGCACGGTCGCTACCACCACCCCCTCGCTCTACTCCAACCGGGACCTCCCGCTCCACTCCAGATCCTCGTCCCTCTCGGAAGAACAACACGCGTCCTGTGGCATCAAGTGGTTCGGCCTGGGTGTAGTTGCCATCGATGAACTTGGCTGCATCGCGCAAGTAACCACCAACGGCACAAACACCACCACGTACTGCTACTCCTCCAGCCAGGCAGGTGGCGCCAGAGTCTAGGGCGACACGGCTCCAGGTCCTTGTAACGGTGTGGTAGATAAGCACGCCAGCATGCACCACAGCCCTGCTCTGCTCCAGTGTGGTACCACCAAGCAAGTAGAGCCGACAGCGAAGGGCAGCGCAAGCAAAAGAACGCAACGGTAATGGCAAACGAGGTCCTGATGCCCAGGTCAGGGCATTAAGGTCAAATTTTTCACATGTATCTAGAAATGCTGTTCGGTTACAGCCACCGAGAGCATATAAGAAACCTCCACAGCCAAGAAGACCCAACATCGCACGTGGTTCAGCCATCAATGGCCGTGTAATCCAGCGGTTTACCACAACATCGTACTCATGCAGTGATGATGAGACCTGGCCACTTCGCAGGATGCCGCCTGCCACAAACAGTCGACCTCCAACAGCGATGCAGCCCGGGCAAAGCAACGAGCCCAAGGCTGCCAGCTTCTCCCACTTCCCTGTACGAGGGTCAAAGCAATCCACCGTGAAGTCCCTGTCCTGTAAAGAATCATCCTCCCTCGGTTTAAGATCTACACAGACTATTTTCTTCTCAAACATGCCTTCTCGAGGCCTCAGCGGTCCGCCCATGCCCTCTGTAATGGCTCGAGGCCCAAGTTCTTTGTTCATTCGGAGGTTCTCTTCAGGGCCCAAAAGGCCGGGACGTAAATGGCGTAACAAACTGGGCATGTGAATGTAACGATCAGCGGGCTGGTATTCTGCCCAGCGCCTTGCTGCATCGTAAACTTCGGTCTCAGTCTCCACACCCAATCGATCAGACTCCAACAAGCTGCCAAGAGTTCCTGGGTCCAACAGGAGGAAATCTCGCTGCCGAGACACTCGAGGGAAATGCTGACCCACCAACCTCAAAGAAGCCCGAAGAAGCAGCTGGTCATGATGTGAACGAGCCAGAGAGTACATGCCCAGGCAATTCTCCACAGACAGGTGTTCAAAAAGGAACCTTTCAAACAGGAAGATTCAAATGTGAGCATCAGCAAGACAAGATACAAGGTAGAACGATCACAAAAAGATAGCATGTAAATAATACCTAGAGCAAAGGTCCTGCAAGGGCATCACTTGAAGACGATTGGCCGCTACAAACAAATCCTCTGCTGTTTCGAGACTAAGACCTGCTTCTCCTGTATAAACAAAGTGGATAACCGTCTCCATAACAAAGGGTGTCACCTCCTCCAGTCGGATCTCAGTAAGACGTGACTCTACGAGAGGGCTGGTAAACATGGCACGGAAATACGGACTGACCGCTGCTAATAGAACTCTAAAAAAAAAAAAAAAAAAAAGTGTTCACATATAACAAAACAGAACATTTTTATATGTACACTACCATTTCAAAGTTTGTGGTTGGTATGATTTTTTTTTTATATTATACTCACCAAGGCTGCATTTATTTCATTAAAAATTCAGATTTTTTTTAAAATATTATTTATTCCTGTGATGTGGTAGTGTATAATTTCAGCATACAAAATGTGCCATACAATTTAATGTGTAGTAAGATAAAATAGATTGTATGTCTTTTTTTAAAATGATTCTAGATGTGAAAATAAAACCTTTTTATGTACAAGATAATCAGAAAAATAACCTTTAAAGCAGAAAAACATAAAACCAACCTGTGACACATGAACTTTTTTCCTTCCACCAAAAGAGTGACATCACACAACTGTTGAGCATCAAGTAACTGCTTTAACCCTGAATGAGTTGACAGAGGGAAACAAGGCAGATAAAAAGGTGCTAAATTAATCAAATTCATAAGGTCCCCATAATGGTCTCACATTTGATGAATATGGTACCATTTTAGTTTTGCTGTTTTTGAAGAATGGATGAGTTTACTCATGGCATAGCTGGATATTTAGGGTCCAAAGGTCTGTGACCACTAGTCAAAATGCTTCTATTTTTCATTATTTAATTTAATAATATCCGATTATTATTTACAATTGTTTTGCATTACAAATTTACATTATTTGGATAGTGACCCAGAAGTAGTGCACACTCATAAACAGTTCTTCATTTTACATTATAGCTTTCCCTTGATGTACATTTTTAAACAAGCCTTAAACATTTTGCCCCGGTATACACCTGGTATTAAGATGCGTTTTGGTCATTCAGATCACAAGTAGAAGAGGAAGACATTCCTATTTACACCTAGTGTTTTAATCAGTCTCTTTTGTCCACTTTCGACCACTTCTGTCCTGATTTCTTCGAGGGGAGGGTCTATGCATGGGTAAATGTATGGACTTTTTCATACCTTTCGATCTAATGGATGAAATAAACTCACGCAATTTACATATGAACACGGCTGGAGAAAGCCGAAAAACTTATGGAGAGCATCAGCTTTAGTTTCTGCTCTGACAGCCGCAAGATGAGACCGAACGCAGTGAGTGCGTGTTAGAAATCAGGAATGGTGAGAGAACATTGTGCTTGGTATGTTTTTAGTCTCCAAACCAAACTTGGGTCTCCAGCCGACAAAGTTTAAATCCCGTCTGGCTAGTGCTCTTCCCATAATGTTTACGCATTAGGTCAGTATGTGGACAGTAGGTGGTCTTTTGTGGCTTTTCAAACACATTCGACTACATGAGCGTTTACGAAAGCAATTCGGTCTTTTACGTTTTCGACCACCTCTGGAAGTGGTCGAAAGTGGACAAGCTCAGAGCGTTTTAGACCCTGTTTACACCTGTTTTTAGCGTCGTCCATTTGTGATCAGATCGACCAAAACACATGTTAATACCAGGTGTAAACAGGCTGTTGTGCTATAGGACATACGTGCAAAGAGCAATAAAAAAGGAGGAAGATAGATTGAAGCATGTGCTATGCAGACTCTTATGAGATATTTAAAATTAAATAAGAAATTACATTATAGAACCCATAAATATATAATTATAGGTTTCATAATCTAAACAATCCATGTTTAAAAACAACCAATATCTCACCCTGAGTTACATATTCCCCCAAAGGAGTCGAGTAGTCATCAGGAAAATCCTCTTCCTCCGAGTCACTATCTGAGAGAGGTTCTCCACCACCTCTATCTGCATCCTTCCAAGGCTGTGGTCGCCAGGTAATAGTACCACCTCTGAGTGTACTACCTCTGACACTCATCTGTGGCAGGGATTTAATGTAAAAATACATTGTTTACTCATTAGATGATCTTATTCTGACAGTATAATACTTGTGATTACATTGAATGCACATTGATGACAGATCTGATTGATGACAGCATGCCAGTTTCTAGGCTTGAACTGGGAAGATATTTACAGTGAGTGTTCCCTAATTTCTAGAATCGAAAAATTTGATATTAGAGTCGAGCACAACTACTGGTATAAATATATATTTTTTAAAAAGTTCAATAGAAATTTAAAAAAAAATATATGTAAGACTGTAATTTTGTTCATTTTCATGACTTCAATTATAAAATTATCTGCTATTTCCAGCATTTTCTTCGTCAAAACATTTCCCAAAACTATCTATAGATAATCTGTTTGGTGAATATTAGCAATGGGATTGACTGACTCGATTCTTCACGCACCAGAAGTAAATAAATCAGAATATTGCAATGCAAACGGACACGAACAAATACAACAGCGAGCATAAAACACTCTTGTCAATAAAAAAAACATGCATTTTCTCAAATATTACCATGAGAAGTGAAGGTTTCTATCAGAGAGCGAGTTGACCCTAGCAGTATAGCTCTAGGTAACGGACAGTCTCGTAATTCTTGGTGCGTCTTGAGTTCGATTTTGTGTATCAAGGCTATCAGGGTGCCACAATGGTACAGACGGCCTGACACCCTTCGGCCCGTTCACAACGCCTTGACCTTCCTGGGTAGTTTCAGCGCAAATTGTTCGGCTCATTACGGTGTGTTGCACATCCTTAGCATTTCAGCTCAGAAATATACACGCGCGCCTGATATATCCACCTTGACGACCGCGCCTCCATGTAGTAGATTATTAGTGGCTGTAATCCGGATTGGCCGTAGGCACCGTAGTCACAGGAAAAATGGATGATTGTTTGACCAGTAATGTCTATTGCAACTATTTCTCACAGCTGCCAGCATTGCGCCATGATTGGAGGCGAAGCAAGCGGATTCTGTCACTTGCCGGAACAACATACTAAGCTTCCGCTTTAGTAATAAATAGGCCAATTTAGCGGATGTGACGGATATTTACTTCCGTTTCAGCGCGAATCGAGAGTCTTAAGCATAGACATATTATGTCTATGGTCTTAAGAGTCTCAAGCGAAAGACAAGGGGGAGATAACAGGGCTTTGGAGATAATCACAGGAAGATCAGAATAAAGGTGCATAAATATATCAAATAAATATTTTGTAAATTCAACATATTTTTAAAGTCTTGAGAGCGTTCTTAGTCGGAGAGTCTCTAATAATCCAGTCTTACTTCAGTCAACAAAATTATAAAATTTGGGTTCTGATTAGTAAGCCTACATTTATGAAAATTTGGTAAAAAGTATCAATAAATTAATTAAATAAAATATTATGGATAATCAGTGAAACCAAAGAGTACATTTTGCTTTACTGGTTCCGTTACGGGCCTGTTCTCAAAAATACGTTGTTTATGGACTTGTTTGGACAAATAACTCTTTGGTTAATAAGTATAACATCCTTATTCTGGGAAAATGTGTATACACAATTCTAAGAACTCTTTATTTTTTTTCTCTTTTCTTAAGGCCAGTTCATACCAGACAGACAAACACCAATAAACAAGTTGGCCATTGTATTTTGAATTTAATGAAAACCAACTGTCATTTTCACACTGCCCAAACAGACACATGACAAACGTTGACTGAACATGTTCAGTTTGTCCGGTGAAAATAAACCCCGACCAACTCCGACAGTAAAAGCTTGCAAGAATCTGGTTTTCATAGTAAAAGTCCCTGCAAAGAACTATACTTTTCACTAAAATTATATAAGCACTATTACGGCAAATACATAAAACTACATCAAAAGTGTCAAAGTGTAATAAGCTTTCCGATTTATTTATTTATAACAATAGACTAAAATAATATTTATTAACTGTAAAAGTATCACTGTCATCGCATTTCATCGAATTTAGACGAAATGACTCCTCTCGGCTTCCGTACAGTTAAACTGTCAACCCGTAAACCATGGCGTCCTCTGTAAGGGCAGCTACACGGTGTTGCTCTTTTTATCTGCTTACGTCTTCGAGACTAAATGTCAGCAGTGGATTTAGATGGTCCTGCCGACCTTGCTCCTCTCGACCGGTCAGGAGCAGCCTCTATGAGCATGTACGGGAAGGGTACAGTCACAAACCCGAGCTGGACATGCAGCGTGTGTGCGATGAGACAGATGCGGTGACAGCGGAGGTGGACAATCGGAAAGGAGATCTGCGGGCAGCTGATGTCGGAGTTATAGTAAGACACATCATGCATTAAAATACTGCTGCACTGACATTAGTTAAACTGAGATTTTCAGATAATGCACGCGAAAACGTTAATGAAACACCTGTGTGGTACAATGTATGTCTAGGTCTCAGTCTGGAAGAAACTACAGAAGGTGCAAAAAGAAATATCAGATTTGGAAAAGAGAAAGCATGTGATCAGTGGCAAAGTCCGTGCTCTTGTAGTAAGTGTTCATATACATTTACATAATTAGGGTTTCAATATGAAGTGTGGGTACTTGTACATTGGACAGTGATTGACGTTTCCTGCAGTGTGCTATGTTATTCATCTAAAATTGCATAACAGTTAAGTTAAAAGATCAATGGTGGGGGGAAATGACAACAAATATGTATTATTTACAGTGCTTAAAATATACACACTGCTTTATACTTATAATTGCTTTATACTTATTTTAAATGAACAGTTTACCCCAAAATGGTTGGTGAAGGTAAATTTGAAAGAAGAAGAATTATGGCTATTTTCTCTTTGAATATTTTCTATTTTCTCTTAGTCAATAGAATAGTTAATAGTCGGTAGAAATAATTCACGGTATTTCTTAACATAATGACATAACATCTTGATGTTAAAAAAAAAGTTAATAATGATATAATTTGTGATTTATTTCTGGATGAAAATTTGGTTCAGTCCATTTTTCCCACCCTTTTCCCTTCCAGGATGAACATGACAAATCCACTTTGTCTAGTGTAAGTTCCAGCTTTTTTTGATTTGCGTAACACTCTAAACTTTAGTTTGAATAATTAAATATGGGCTTTTTAATTAATAAAAGCATGAAAGCTTTTTAAAATTGAAAGCTGCTATATTTTAGTGATTTTTTCGGTTTGCTTTGCGATAAGTAGTATGCATTATGCATTGGAATATTTGTATGATATTCTTTCCCTGCTTTTGGGCTTGACAGCTTGAGGAGTACAACAGTGCGAGAGAAGAAGGCAGAGCACTCAGGGAGAAACTTAGTCAGTTGCATCTGCAAGAGAGTGAGCTGGAGAAAGAACATTACTGCCGCGCTCTACGACTGCCCAACAGAACACATCCAAGTGTGGTAAGGGACCACTCACCTTTCATAATAATAATAATTTAAAAAAGTTAAATGTAAAAGGAAATATTATGTATGTATTTTAAAAAGTAATCCTAAAAATAGTAAAAATGTTAAACCATTCATATTAATTGCTATTAAGTTATGAAACAATTTATTACTAAATGTTCAATGAACCAAATCCAAGTATCAGATTTGCACCTAATCAAATAACAGTATACAAAAACATACACATCATCATAATGGATTCTTTTAATGCTTCTGTAATAACTGAAAAATCAGGAAAGCTGGGTAGGCAATTTGGGAGAGGCTAGCTATAGCAAGCTAGCTTCGAAAGCGCAAGATCCCACCCTCCCTTCAGAGCGCTTTCCAAAGCCACGCTTCCTTCAAAACACATGAACGAGCACAGCCAGAGCGGCTCATTTCAGCGTTGATAGTGTTGCCATAGATAGGCATAAATCCGAGTCCGAGGATGTGTGAACAGCTCAGAGTATAACATCAAGGGTTGGCATCTCTTAATTGCTGTAATAACGACATGGCGTGAACGCAGCATAAGCTCGTTGTTTTGGTTCAGGAGGAACTGTAAAAGGTGGCTGTTGTTTGTTTGCGGCGCTCAGTGACTGTCTGTCTACAACTCTGCATTGCATCATGGAACACACTGATGACGCATGATGTCTGTGTGAGCTGGGTGCGCGGAGGTATGGAAATACATATGAGCCCCATTTACACCTGGTATTAAAATGCGATCTGTATCCAGATAAGTTATCCGGATAATAAGTGTTCTGATCTTACCTTTGCGTTTACACCTTGTATTTTTAATGCGTTCTCGTTATCCACATTGAGTTCGGATCTCTGTCCTCCAGAGTGACACCTGCGCGTGAGCACTGAGGTGGCGGGAAATCAGCTGTAGTTTGTCAACATGGCAGGTGTAGGATCGTTAGAGATGCTATTACTGTACCGCCTGTTTCTACTTTTTCTCTGTCGCGGTAGGGGTCATTTTCAACGTTTTTCTATTAGGAGCAAACAGAAAAGACGACAGGCCCTGTTTGCAGCTGTTGTTTTTGTGGCTGCTGTGAATGCTACGACAGTGAACCGGTCTCTGTGGATGTTTAGCTTAACGTTACTTCTGAGGGGTGTGGTTTTCGCGGGCAGAGGATGACGTTTGGCAGGTACGAATGCCATCACGTCGTACGGATTGCGTTTACACCTAGTAAAGATCCGAACACAATGCGAGCCAGACTACCTCCAGATGTGGTCAGGCAGATCCGTTCACAATCCGATCACAACGTATTCACCTTGCATTAGCATGCGTTTTTTATTATCCGGATAACTTATCTGGATACAGATCGCATTTTAATACCAGGTGTAAATGGGGTCATGTTGACAGGCAGGTAGGACATTCCAGTCATTGCATTTGGACTGAATGCAATAATTGGACGAACATTTTTTGGGTCCTGAGACTTCCACAGAAGTTATGTAAAATATTTTAATATTTAGACGACTTATATTATTGATTGCTATCAGGATGTGAAGAGAGTTTCACCCAGTATGACAAGAAGTGTTTATGAATAACATTGCCTACCCTAGCTTTGACAGGAATGTATTTTATTAAATTTTCTTGTCTTCTCTCCTAGCCCATCGGAGATGAGAGCCAGGCAAGAGTGGTTGAATTGGTTGGTCAGAGACGAGGTAAATTTATTTGAATAAAGCCATAAACCATAATATCCATTTCTTGAAATCGGTTTGGTCAAAAATACAATTTGGAGTATGATTTGAAGCAACAGCCATGGGTTTCCCTGACCTTGAGGTTTGACTTTGTGTTACATTTCTTGCAGCAATTTACATTAAATCTCTAGCAATTAGATCAGTGTTTGAAATGTGTATTTGATTTATTTTATGCATATACCTGTTAAGTCAACTAGCTTTATCAGGGGGGCGGTACTGAATATAAACAACATGCATTTTTATTATCATCTTTAAAAAGAAATCTCAACATCTTGCATATTCTGCCAGGGATAATATGAGGAGAACTTTATTGTATTATGTTGCTGATATTTTTAAATAACTTTTTGCTCCTTGGATTTGCTGCTTTACCAATGCTTGCCGTTTTGATCAATACATGGTGTGACTGACTTGAAATATTTCCTAACCTGGTCAAATGTTTTGTAAATGCTAGGAAATGTTGCATAAAAAAGTTATTGTAATTTTACTGTAGTGTCATGTGTCCACCATAGAATTTGATTTCAAACCAAAAGGCCACCTGGAAATTGGAGAGGGTCTTGACATCATAAGACAGAGGTTAGATGTTTTCTCTGTCATGTTTTAATTTTAGTCAATTATTTATTTTTAGTTGTTTTTCAACTAACTCTTTCCTCTTAGACGTCTTGCCCATGTGTCAGGGCACAGATCATACTACTTGAGAGGGGCAGGGGCCAGACTTCAGTTTGCCTTGCAAAATTTTACTATGGATCTTCTTCAGAAATTGGTTAGTATGTTTTTATCTATTTCTGTTATGTGGAATAATGTCTCCACTCATGAATGGTACATTATAAAACCAGTAACTTATTATTTAAAAAAAAAGTAAACAAAATCAATTTTGATTTTATATCGACTGATCCATGTCAACATTAATGTTTCGGTTTCTTTTTTGGAGGTTG